CTTCTAGTATATATATATATATATATATATATATATATAGATTCTTTTTCTCCAATACAATGTATTAACTAATAATAATTGGTACGTAAAATCTTATATCATATATCAACCAACCGTTTCTTGGTTCCATCTTTTTTATAATTATACTGGTTTTATACCAACTTCAAGTTATATATATGGGAACTTGCATGTTTGTTCAAATTTTGAGTGACATATTGAGCTTGCAGGTAACATATGTCGTGTTTAAGGTTTTATAAATTATAAAGAATAAAACTTGCAAACATTCAAATGCTCGGGATGACGTAGTTCATTAGTGCTTTCCTGAGGATGTCTGGCTGGATTTACTACACAAGTAGCATATTCGGATCAACCAGCTCAAACAAAAAGAATTAAATTACGCTACGATGTTTAGTATTCGATATATAAAAAATACAAAAACTAATAAATAATTATATAAGTCGGTACCATGATACTATTGTAGGATCCTTTAAGGTGGGTCCACAAAATCGTTGTTTTTCCTTGTGAAAGGTCAATGCGGTTTGAGGATAGAAAAGTCAATTGAGTCGATTTTGGGAAATAAATACATTTTTTTCAAATGGAATCGATTTTCATCTTTAAAATATATATATGTTACCTTGAAAATAGATAGAAAACAACTATTTTTTTAAGATAAATTGGCATTGAAAAAATGAAAATAAATCATGAGAAAAATAATAAAATCAAAATGAGAGAAAATTTAACAAGAAACTGTGTTGACACAATGGTAATAATCCGTGGCCTAAATTAAAAGAAAAAAAATTAATTTTTTATTTGAAATAAGATTCTAGCAGGGACGAATCCAATTTTTTTTTTCCAAACTGTGGCACCGTTTGATTATGGCACCGTTTGATTATAAGAAAAAAATATAGGGAAATTTTTTCAAACAATGACACCATTTGACTATAAGAAACAAATGTACAAATTTTTTTTTTTCCAAACAGTGGCACTATTTGATTAAGAAAATGACACTAACAAGATTGAAACTTGGGTCTCGGGTGGAATAAAAATCTTGCAAACTAACTCTATCAAATAAAACTTGTTCTCACTGTAGTTTCAAAATATATACGGTGACACACAACAAATTAATACGGTTGCATATTTCACGAACCTAATTTTTTTTACCCTTCAACGGATGAATAATACAATGACACGTGCCACTGTATGCTCTACTCTAGATCTGTCCATGGATTCTAGTCCATGTTTAACTTGTGTTGTAAATTTTCAAAGTATTTAAAAACACCCCTCAAAAATTAAGTGTGGTCACCTTTCAGACATCATTTTTTTTTATTTTGCAATAATCAAGTGGTCGGATGCATGGAAGTAGGGGTGCTCAAAAATTCGACCAACCCGATCAATCCAACCCAACCCAAAGCGAAATAACCCAACCCGAAGCAACCCGATGTCTAATCGAGTTGTAAAATTGTCAAACCGTAGATATTGAGTTACTATTATTTGAACCCAACCTATCCCGATGAACTCGATATCACTTTATTTCTTGAATTTAATATGATTGTTGAATTTCTATTAATATATACATTAGACAATTACACTAGCATGTATGCTTTTCATATACACATATTTTCAATCTATTCATATATCTATATAATTCATTCAGTAACTATGAACATATATATGTAAATTGAGAAAATTAACTGAATGTGATATATGTAAGAAATATGAATAAGCTGTATCAAATGGTTGATGATGAAAAAGAAATTATGAGTAGAGAAATAACGTATTCAAGGTTTGAAGAATATTTTAATATACTAAAGTATCAACCCGACCAACTCGTACGGGTTGGGTTGGGTTGCACTTTGGTTTGGGTTGAGTTGAGTTAAGATTTTTCCAAACCGTAAATATTGGGTTGGGTTGTTCAAATGTCCTCAACCCTTATCAACCCAACCCATAAGCACCCCTACATGGAAGCCCACACCCCTGTTAATAGGTCGGTAGGTATGCTCCTGGTGGTACGCGACTTCCAATAACGTGTATTACTAAAATTTCGTAACAGATACGATGCTATTAACCGACTATAATAAAGACAGATTTAATTGATACGATGGATATAAAAATTAGATAAAAACCATGAAATAAATTTATATTATCTTTATGGCTTTACACCACCCTTTCTTTAAAATGGGAAATAAACTATACCATTCATCAATCATGCATTCATTTTAGATCCACATCTTTGGTTTTTCTTTCGAATTTGTCCAAAAAGATTTCTTTATTTATTGAAAATCTGGCAACCTTTTTTTCCAGAGCTGAAATCCAACATACAACTTCTGATGCATGATTCACAAGCCAATCATGAATCACTTCCCTGGATTTAGTAATTTGAGCTCTGGAAAACTGGCCAGACCATGGTTTTTAAGCTTTCTCTCCGCATGTGACAGAACCCATCATTTTCTTTGGCTCTTGTGAAGTTTTGTACTTAAAAATAGCATCAAATTAGATTTAATTTTGATGGGTTATTCTCAATTATTTACAACTAGAAGCTTCCATTCCAATTCCAATTCCAATTCCAATTCCAATTCAAGAAAATCTTGAATCTTTAGAGTGTAAGTTCAAGAACTGTCTGTTTCTAGTTTCAATTCCAATCCCAATTCCATGGAGTTTGATTACTCAATCTAGAGTTAACAAACTTCAAAAGAGATTGAATCTCTATTTGGAGGTTTGATGTTGAGTTTCTCAAAAAGTGAAAAATGGCAATTCTTAGTGGTTTGGAAATTGGTTTGAGTTTTGTATGTGGATGTGTTCTCTTGGGGTTTGCAGCAGAGCTCTACTATCTTCTATGGTGGAAGAAGAGAAGAGTGGATATTGAAAACCAAAGCTTATCTCTTTCTTCTTCTTCTTCTTGTTCTTCCAATTATACCCCTACTCATCTTTCCTCCTACATTTCCTGTTGGAAAAACCCTAATTCTTCAAAACACACCAAAACCCATGAAAGTAAACAGGATCCAGAGACGGGTTTGGAAGAAGATGTGATTTTAAAGGGTTTAGATGAAGAAAGTGTGGATCTTGAGCTCATGAGGCTGCATAATCTTCAAGGCCCACCAAGGTTTTTGACCACCATTAATGAGGAAACCAAAGAGGAGTTGGAATCACAGAGGAGTAGGAAGGGTTCAAGAACAAGAAGCTTGAGTGATGTTCTTCTTCATTTGGATACTCCTCAAGCTTCACCACCATTAAAGCTGGGGTTACAGTTGCAGAATCTGGAAGGGTTTCATCACCATGGATTGAATCCTTTGTTTGAGACTGAGATTAAGAAGATGAGATCTTCACCACCTCCCACATTCAAGTTCTTGAGAGATGCAGAAGAGAAGCTTTTGAGGAGATTGATGCAATTGGAAGCAGAAAAAGGGGTTAATTCTTCTGCAAAAATGGAGGACAAAGATGGGTTTTCTGTAAAATTGGCCAAAAATGGAGGGATTCAATATCATCATCAAGTTTCAGCTCCTTCAAAGGTGATTCCATTGGCTTCATCGCCATCAAACAGTCAATCAAATTGACAAGAAACAGTGCGCATGCAGCTACCAATTACTGAAATAGGTAATAATTTTTTATTTTATTTTTCTTGAATATTTTGTTTTTGAAATTTTGTTTTTAAATTTATTTGTTCTTAGTTTTTTTTATCAATGATAATTGATATGGATGTACAATCGTGTTTAAATTGGATTAAAGTGAATATTGTTATTTCGAGAATTAAACAAAAAAAAATCAAATATTAAATAGTTTTATATTTATTAGAAGGGTGATTGCATAATACAACGAGATATATCTCAATTTTAATGTTTTTTTTTGTTATTTATATATGTCGATATAATACGGTTTTTAGTGGTTTTGAGAAAACGATAATGTTTTTATTTTAAATAAATTATAAATTTAAATATATCATAAAAATTTGGGAAAAAAATTATATGACATCAGTATCAAATTTACTATTTAAAGTTTTGGTTTTTTGTGTAATTCATTTGATCTAGTATTTTATTTATAATTTAATTTAGATTTAGTAACGAAGTAATTTATTTATTGTTTAATAAAATAATTTTTATAAAAATAATAATTAAGTATTTTGTTATAACTAATGATTATCCTAATTATATTTTAGATTTTTATATTCAAAATGAGATGTCTATATCGTATTTGATTATGTTTATCTATAGTTGGTTATACAAATTCAAAAATGAAGCTTTAATAAGTTGTACTTACGCACAATTTATTGTCATCTTCAATTTTAAGTAATATGCATCAATAAACAGTACTTTATGCATAAAAAATGGTTTTTAAAATTTTTTGTCAAATGCTTTATAATATAGTATAGATTTTAATAAATTAATTTTATATTTTATGGTTAATTTGATATTAAAATATCAAACAATGAAAATAAGTCTTGCCCTAATTAGTTATAAGTAACAATTTTTATTTTGAATGAAACATTAAATAAGCACTCAACAAGATTGCTGATAATCGATTTTCGCTCGCCCAAATAACTCTTAACGTTTTAAGAGCCGAGTAAAACAAATTCAGTAATTTACTCTGTTATATATAAGAACGTGTTTAATTACAAACTTAAATTTTGTTAGAGAAAATTAATTAAAACATAAGCACAAACTTTTTAATACAATTATAAAAGTGTGATATTACAAAGATATTAATATGACAATTATAGGAAATAATGAATCTCACTTATACTTATAAAGAGAAGAAAAGAATGAGAGTGGTTACTCCACACTTACATATACATACACACACACATATATATATATATATAGAATGATAATTATATAATTCATATACATACATACATATATATGTGTGTATGTATGTGTGTGTGTTAACAATTATATGTATCATTTAAATATATATATATATATAGTTATATATATATAGTTATATATATATATATACTTGGGATCATGTGAGACCAAAGGTTTTTCGTGAGACCCGTAAGACCAATTCTCAACCCTTGGATTATATCTACAATCTGACAATTTGAACATTCATAAACGTCACAAGACTTCTCAATATTCATAAAATTGTCACCATACAACTTTAAACCATTAGATCATTTGCTTATAAAGTTGATCAATGAACATAAATTGATCTTACGGGGCTCACGAAAAACTCTTGGTCTCATATGAACCCAACCCTATATATGTATATGTATATATATATATATAGATACATAATGTAAGTTAAATTAATATATATAATAAATAAATAAACAATATTATAATAATTATATAAGTTATATGTATAGTGTAACATTAATAATTATATGGCAAGAAAATAGAAAAAAAAACTAAGAAAGTGTCACTTCACACAAACTTCATGATAAAAATCAAGGTTTGTATATAATAACCTAAAGAGAATGAGGTTCTTATAAGAACTTTCTATAATGATACTACCTACAAAACGCTACACTTTTTTACTTATAAAAACTTTGCATTGAATATGTTCTTATGAAGAAGGAATAAAGAAGCGTGTGTCACGTCACAGACATTTACGAGATATTTATTATGAATTATTTAATATTCATCAACGCTATAAAAAATTCATGCTAATAAATGAGAACAAATAAGGATACACGTCATCATCTCCTTGTCTCCAAGTTCATAATATCTGACAGTTATCTTAAAATACAAATTTTTGAGACTTATGATATATTTTTGTTCCAAGAGCTACGCTATACTCGTATGCTAAAATAGAAGAGAGAGAGAGAGAGAGAGAGAGAGAGAAAAGGGTAGAAGGGGCTGTTTGACAATTGCTAAATGATTTGGTGCAGAATAATTAAGTGGTTAGAATGATTAAGAGGCTCTCATGATATAGTGCAAAATGAAATATAATTATTTGGTAATTATATACAATGAAATTAGAACTCTTAATGGTTAAGAGAGATGCAAGATACAAAATCATTCAGAGGGTTTTAGAACCATTAAGAGGTAGATTTTTTTTTTTTTTTTGCCAAACAAGATTCACCTCTTAACGGTTCAAAAATTGCCTCTTAATGGAACTATTAGAAAGTAAACAAACAACCCCAAAATCTTTGTATTTAGAGAAATCTCTAAACTTCATATTTAAGAAGAAAAAAAAAATATTTAATTTTTTCTTACCAATAAAAGACATTAAAATTAAGTTTTCAAAAGAAATAATTAATATTTTACTAAATGAACTAAATATTTTTATAAAAATATAATTAATATTGAAATTGTTAAAATAAATATTTGTTGAAGTTATATATAATTTTTTTATAAATTCTAACATATAATATTTTATTTTAAAAAAAATATAACATAATTATTGAAAATACTGTATCTATTTGTCTTCATATTTACAATTATAATGAATATAATTTTAAATTTGAAGTTAAAAATTGTAGATATGTTTGTGGTTGGCATGGATGGTGATGAATCTAATGATGTTGATAAGCAAGACGCATGTTCTTATGCTTCTCGAAATAGAAAACTTGTGGGGTACCTTCTCTATTTATATATAATTTATTATTAAACTATTTAATATTCAATTATTAACTTAAATTTATACCAAAATCAAATAATTTTTAATTTCATAATCAAAATTAGTAATCTAACTATATTATAAACATTTGATAAAAATTCTTAAAAACAATTTTTATGCACAAAGTATTGTTTATTGATGCATATTACTTAAMATTTAAGATTACAAGTAAATTATGCATAAATACAACTTATTAAAGCTCTATACTTGAATTCTTCTAACTAACTGCAGATAAATATAATCAAATATTGGATAAATATCTCATTTTAATTATAAAAAATCTAAAATATAATTATGATAATCATTGATAACTAACATAATTTAATTAAGAAAATTACACCAAAACACAAGAACTTTTAAAAATATTAATTTAACACT